ACTAACTTCAGCAGTAATTTCAGTCTAGCTGTTCCTGCATAGCATGATCATTAACACAAGCACTTCAGCAGGTGCCTAGGCCATTGAAAAAAGCTATATTTGAAAGTTGGCATCTAATGCATTAACAATCTCAAAGCATTTTCTTTCTTGACTTCACAAGAAGTTTACTGGGGTGAAATACAGGAAACCACAGAGAAGTGTGTTTTACCTCATCTTAATTTCTGTAGTGAATAAGTTATTTTTTGGGCAATCTCATAGGTCTGTCTGTGAGCCCTGCAAGTCTTTTGCTGCTAAATAATGGTAAAGATGAAAATCACAACTACTTAAGGAGTCCCAGATGCAACGGAGATTTCAAGGCAGAAATTATTTTAGCAATTTCCTAATATGAGAATTGATTTACTTCCTCTCATAAAACAACAAAATTCATTTTTTAATAGAGTGCATCACTCTCAGCCGAGGAACAACCACTACAGCTGTTATATACTGAATCCAGGGAAGATTTCTTAAATTTTAAGAGCTTAGCAATGAGCTTAGCACTTCTCAACAAACTTAGGAACACTTTTAAAAATATTTAAATTAAAATAAAAAAGGAAACAAAAAAAAAAAGAAATCAGAGAAAATCCAGGGCCTTGGTTCTCATGCACCAAGCCTGGCCATGTGTAGTCTGAGACCTTAGTCCCCCTGCTCACCAATGTTTCCTTTGCAAGGAAATTTGAGAATAGTGTGAAAGACACCATAGAGAGAGCCCTGTCCAACATTGTAGAAACAGTTGTTGGGAACTAAAGGCACTGACAGACATTTTGAAAGTTGTTGAATCAACTGTCAGACAAAGGTCTGTCTTTCCAGTTATCAGCTGAATATTTTTATTTTTGTTGTTATTGTTCATAACCCTCAAACTGGGCTTCTAGTCAGACTGATTGTGACAAGAAATATTTATGAATTTTTATTAAAGAACTGTGTTCACAGCACATTTGTTCAATCTTCTTTCTAATTTCTAAAAGATTCTGTTCTTATCGATTTTAATGTCAGCCTCTTCATGCAAAAATTCTTCTTTCTGATGATCGTGCTTATTTATTCTTTCACACAAAAACTTTAATCAATTTAAATGGTTACTAATGTATCCCAGCATGGCAGTGTCCAGTGCCTGCAGGCAGTTTCTACTCATAAATGTGTTTTGTGAGCACTTTTCTCTGAAATTGGAAACTGAAATATAAACACGCATATAAATTCATGATTTTGAGTAATTTTGCCCATCTGACCTTGTCAAGTAGTTTTCTGTCTAACTTCTGTAGCCTTCTGGATTTATTCTCCATATACCTTAAAGATGGAATTTGGATGTCTGAACATCCACTGAAAACTCTCATGTCTTGAAATAGCAAGAAAAATTTCAAAATATAAATTTTGGTGAATTGGAGCCTCCTGGACACTTTAAGGCAGCATCAGAAAGGGTGCTGCTGGTCTGAGCCCCTTTTCTCCCCTTGCTGCCTGTCTTGGTGGCTGTCCTGCTTCGAGGCTGATCCTTGCATGACTTCATGGGCAGAAACAATCTCTCAAAGGAGGAAGTTGTCCTGGGCAAAACCCTGGGAAAATTTCCATAGATTTTAGGAGGCCTGTGTTTCACCTCCCTTATAAACAAAGAGTGGATTTCTACAGTGCTAATATCTCCTCTGATATCAAAAAGTTTTTAATATCAGAGAGTGTGAGAAGTTAGGGTATGTCTTGATCCAGAGTAATTACAAATGTTTTCTTGCATTTTTTTTCTCGTCACTCTTAGTTAACATATAACACTTAGTTTATTAAGTTCATTTGAAACTGAGAAAGGCAGCAAAGTAGATGGAAAATAAAAATATGGAAATAATAACAGCTAAAACATCAGAGGATGAATGTGGTATAAAACTGTAATGTAAGGACTCTATGTACAATAAAACATAAGAATTCATCACTTCTTGAAGTGGCTTTCAGTATAACATGCTAATACTTAAAGTACATTTTACAGACAATACTTTTTAAAATAAACTTCTATATTTAGAATCTTAAACTTAGAAAGGTTGCCTGCCTGCCATTTAACAACAACCAGCCCTCAGAATTTCCCACTGAAGCACCTATTTCTGAAAATTTTGTTGTTTTCAGAGTATTAGTGAACATTTGAAGATGATACTTAAGGGTACAATCTTCATTATGTATTTTGTCAGATCTTAAATTGATTTGCTGGTCAAACAGGTTTGGGGGTTTCAGACCACTTCACTGATAGGGATGAGCTGTCTCTCTGAGAGGCAAGGCCATGCCAAACAACTTCAAGTGGGTAAGTTGCTTTGCCATTGGCCAGAGAGCTTTGCCAGTGCTCCATTTCCCAGGGAGATATGTCAGACATTAGTGGTAAAGTCCACTAACCAAACTTCAGAACACAGTATTAATTTGATTAAGTTCTACTTCAATAGAAAAGGGAGTTAACTAAGGGAAATAAGAAGGCTTTCCCAGAAGACAAGGCTGAGCTGAAGTGTTTGCTGGAGAGTGTAAAAGGGGAAAACAGAGTCATTGAGATGAGAGAAAATGGGAAATTCAAGGACGCAAGTTAGAGACATGAGGAATCGGCATCTGAGAATGCTTGTTTAGTCTCCATCACTCTCAGAGAAAGTAATAAATTAAGTTTTGATGGTTAAATACTTTGTTTTCAACTATTTCTCAGAATTTACCCATGCCTCCCACAGAAATATGCATGAGAAAAACTAGTGACTAAGGAAAAGAAAGAGGAACTGTGATGAGATTCAACATCCTGAAGGCCTTGTTTAGAAACGAAGCATTGCATTTTATAAAAATTTTTAAAGGAAAATTTCAATTGGACCTCACTTCTACAGCATTTCAAATTCTCTCTGGATGCACCATAGTGAACACAAAAAGCCTGTGCCATTTTTGATGTTAGCTTATCTATGTGCTATCCTGAAGTATGCCAGCACATGATGTAAATGATGAATAGCACGTAGGCACTTGGCTGTGGCACTGCAGGAGTTCAGGTCAGAAAAAGATTTTACAGTTCAGCATTTTGTGTCTGTCAGTAACAGGCAAAGCCAAGGGAAAGGACCTGAATTTATGTCTGCAATTTATCTCCACACAATCCGTAGCTTGGCCTCCTGTGGGGCATTTTCTCTCTATCTTCTTAATTCTGCAAGAGCATAGGTGAGAGAGACAGAGGAGAAGTACAGCTGCAGTATCTTTGTTGTCACAGTAGGTTTTATCCATGTTGCTAGTATACTGAGTACAGTAGAAGCTGCAGTATTCTGTTATGAGAATCTGCAAGTAGTATTTCTCCTGGTGTGTTACTTCAATTAAGCATTCAAACAAAGAGTCAGCATTAAACATGTAAGGAGAATCTAAGCTTTATCCTGTAAATTAATTTAAATTGGCCCAGAAAAACAAATTGATGTCATTTTTCTTTCTCTTGAATTCCAGAACAGTACAGTTTAAAAACTAAAATTTTTTAACTTAAAGTGGATGATTAAAGCATTTCCATTCCTAGGTCACTGATGTAAAGGGTAAAAGGAGAAAGAGACAGGTTTGTAACACTTGCTAATAGTAAGTCTGCAAATTAATTGGAGAGATTTCAAGTAACAATAATTGACAGCTGTAAAAGTAAGAATTACTGCAACTCAGAGAGAAAACATTAAATTGCAACTATTTAAATAATTACTAAAGCGTATTTCTTCTTTCATCATATGATATGATTATTATTGAATTCATACATGCAAGTAAGCATGCTTCTATAAACTGTGGGTTGCATTCTGGATGAAGGAGGATCTTCGGTTCTGAAAAAAAGAGTCTGTCAAAATACTTCATGAATCACAGTCATGGGCCACAGTTTCCTCTTCTGTAAAATAAGTAACTTATTGTGTTTATTTTTTCCCCACTGAGTTGCTGCACTAATATGCATCCTTTTCGTCAGTCTGGTAAGATACAAAATGTTCTAATGTTCTGCAGCTCTTTGTTGTTCTGAGCATTTTCTATTTTGAATTCTCGTGCATTTTTAGATTGGAGGCAGAAGTGGGTCATTCCCTAGTGATCTTAATATGGAAGCCTTTCCCTTACACTGAGACCTTTAATTTTGCTGCCACTCTCATCCTGTATCAGTGACAGATCTGGCCAGTGCAGCATCTATTTCTTAAAGTATGTCACATACAGATGCTATCCACAGGCTATTACCTTGAACTGTAATATAACTTTCAGCAGTATTTCAGTAAAAAGGAGGGTTCTGTCATCAAAGATGTAGCGGTAGCACAAAACATCAAGAACTCTGATCCAAGATACCAAATCTAATTAATCAGAACCTGAAGCTCAACTGGGTTTGCTGTCCAGCAGCAGTTTTATTAGTGGGCAGAGAAGACCTTCTTTGTTTCTTAAAAACAGAAGAAAACATGTATACATTTGACACAGTCCAGAGCATACATTGCAGACTATTTTTGTTAAAGCTGGCTTTCCTTGAACCACAAAACAGTGTTAATGACCATTAGCCACTCTCCAAGTGATTAAGTAAATGAACTCAGGAAAATGGACTGTTGGGTGCACTCCCAAACACTCAGCACAGTTTATTGAAACTGATCCATTTAAACAAGCAGTATACCGATATTCTGTTCAACCTCTGCCTATTAGGGAAATATAATTACTGAGGACACTTCCATGCTTAAGAGGAGGTGAAGCTGGCTTTCAGCACTGACAAAAGGGAACAGTCTTGAAAGCATCAGTGTTGGTAACTTTCATGTGGTGTTGGGAGCATGGATCTAAAAGACATGCATGTCACCTTGAGAACCAGAAGGCAGCACAAACACCAGCTGAATAGTCATTGCTGCTAATGTGCTGTATGAGGAATGCGTATTAAAGTCAGTGCCTAATGCAGTGGGAAATAAAAATTGCAGTTATTAACACATCTTGAACTGAAATTAAATTTGGGTCTTAATGGAGAGAAATAGGCACATTTAGGAGGTAAGAAACATACTGAAAAGCTGCCTTACCTCCATCTAGTTCTTCAGCTCCAAAATGATTCCTGTAGAAAAGCATAATCTCTATCTTGTAACACTTGTAGATAGTCACTAAACAAACAAGCAGCAGCAGAATAGCACCAAGCCCACCAGCAAGCTCAACTGTATACATCAGCTCTGCAAAGAATTACAAAATACAATAATAACCACATTACAAAAGAGAAAAGATCAACAGCAGACTTCATATTTAGGTTAATTACTAATATAAAATAATAAGAAATTTTTTAGGTTTTTTTTTTTTTTTTAAATTTGAAGATCCTGTGAAAAAAAAATACCCAGGAATGTGTTTTCTTTATTAACATCCTTTTTCCTTTGGTGCAGTATCTAAATTGATCTTCTGTAAAACAACACATGCTGGAATATGTATGTGAGTATGCATGTAAGAGAGATTTGATAACCCTCGTCCATCTCTCTCCCTGTAGATACATTACAATTCGTTATATGGACATAAACATTGACATTCCATTTACAGTGAAAGCAGAAGTGATTTTTTTTTTCTAGGGGGGGGAGAGTGGAGGAGAAGGGTACTGTAATGAAAACATATCCCCTCCCTTACTCCACACATAAATAAGAAAAAGCTCAGGTTTTGGATTAATTTCAGTCTACTGGCTAAGATCAAACTAGGGATTTTTTTTTTTTTTTTTTTTTCCCAAAAGAAAAACAAATAAACAAAAAGCAAAGAGAAAAACAGCTTGAGGAATGTGAAGATAAATTATAGGAACTCCAAAGCCACACATCTCAGATATCCGCTAATACCTTTGACACAGTTTCCCAATGATCTGCAACTCATCTTTATTCTCTTCTCTTTCCACAAACAGGGTTGGTTTATGTTTAGTCATTTCAAATCATCCCAATTTGTCAGTTCTGACATCATCATTCAGACCATGGGCACCCCCTGGTCCCTTTGCTGCACTCTGGGGTTGAGATCATGTCATGTAGCTTCCCTTCCTAAGGACAGGGACTCTGGTCAAATTTAACCACATCTAACAGTTACCTCCCCAGTGGAGTCACATTTCAGTGAATAAGTAATGTATCACCTTCATTTCTTTCTGTCTAAACCATGGCATGCTCAAGAAAACTTAAACAGCTACATGACATCCATTTTGTTTTTACTTTGGTTATCAATAGGAAACTGACAACTGGCAACAAACAGAAAGTGTGGAAATGCTGTTAGCAATGTTGTAATTTGAACTAAGTAATAAATGGCATCTCTTACAACCCTCTATAATTTTCCAATACTTCTCAGTGCTACAGAATGCCAAGAAATCAAATCTTGGAAATCCAAGTCATACAGTTTTGCTTCATAAAAACTGTGCTGGAGAAAGCTCAGCTCCATGTTGCTTTCACACCATCCTCTTCCAGTGGGCAGCATCTGTCTGAACAAAGCACTATAGCCCTGATGTAGCCAACTAACAGGTTTAATTTTTTATTATTATTATTATTTTTTGTGGTTATGTAGACTTGACACAATATGATTCAATTAGAGGAATAAAAGGTTATAGAAGAATGTGAGAATTCCATTTATTTTGACTGCATCTATTGAGAATCACACACTTTTTTATTATTTTGAAGTGACTGTAAGAAGATTTAATTGCTCTCTAGAAGACACTAAAAGTGTAATAAAATAAAATAAAGAAGTATTTATGTCCTGTGTCATTCTTTCCAAAACTGTGCTGGAAACTCCTTTGTGTTAGATAATTTTTAATACTCTTCTGGACCAGAAAGAGGAATGTTATTAAAAACAGCCAACAAAAAATAGTTTGCATAGACAAATAATACAGTATTTTACAATATCAATGGAAATGGAAATTACTCAGGGCATACTATAGCCTGTTTATCATTTTGTACTACAGGTGATGCAGCTGTTCAGACTAGGAGAAAGGGTTTTTAATGTGTTGGGTTGCTAGGTACCAAATACTCTATTTATGTGCCTGCTGTTATGACTCATTAAAAGAGAGGAGAAACTTTACAGCTGGAAAACAGAAGTTTTTGCTAAATTAATGATTTTGAGATTAGATGAAAAAAATAACTGCAGGTAGTTACTCTTTCTCTAACACTGTGCATGAAATCAAATAAATGGACCGCATCAATTTTGCTATCAGAGAGGCCCTCCCAGGTGCTTTTGTACCCATAAAATAATTCAAGATTATACTGGTATATTTTCTTTGATAAAGTTCACCTGAACACATATGAACCTATCCTAAACCCACTAGATAAGCAAGCAAGAAACAAACTTCTCAATTCACTCTAAAAAGTTTCTAGAAATTTCCTTTTTATCTGCTGCCACCATAGTCACTGATGAGCACAAGAAGGGTAAGATGGGTCTTTCTTAAACAGATTTGTTTGCAAAGACAGTTTCTTGATATACCCTTTGAGCACAATAGCTGGTATTTTCATCCATGCTGAGCTATGTTTATCAGCACATGGTCGCCCTCTGTCTCGAGTGATGTTTATCAGGCCCTGAGGCAGAGACACAGTGATTAGCCCAGCAGTCTGCTGTATTCTTATATCCCATTGTGCCAATGCCTAAGCCAGCCCCCAAAGGCCCACAGCTGGTACAGCCCCATCTGCATGATGCTGTGAAGAGCAGCACAGATTAGCCTGGGCACAGTGCCGCATGCAACTGTGTGCTTTCAGACCTTGAGCTAGTGTTTCCCCAGGTTGCTAAACTGTACAGGGAAGCTAGCTGGCTTTGTATATGTCAGGATTTTTTTGAAGAGCATCACTGTATGTTACACAGAATTGAAGGTGTCAGAAAGCAGGCTCAGTCCAGCCATTAGTGTTAGTCCCTCAGATGGCTGCCATCATTTCACCTTCCCATGTCTTGGATTTCCTTGTGAGAAGTGGGAAGGAGTACCTGGACTCCTTCCTGGGAGAGGTTATTCCGGAATGGTGCCTTGTGAAGGTGATGTGCATGAGAGCAAGGGTATAATAAATATGTCATAGCAAGGACAGAGTCTGAGGCTGCCTTTGTAATAATATGATTTTTTTTGGTACTGCCTTATTCTGTCTTTTGCTTTGCAATTTAAGTATTATGGCTACAGCAGGCACTGCATTGCCTTTGATCTGCTTTTCCTGCTAAAACGCAGGTTTCCCGTAGTGGCTAGATGCTAAAAATGTTCAGTTTCTTCTATGCCTCTTCTGTGGCACAATACCACATCAGAGGGGAGAGACAAAAAGAGCAAACCTTTTAAAACCATTTAACCTCTGTGTTACGTTGCTCAAATTACAGACCTTGCCCTCCTTAAGGAGCCAAGACCGAATGTAGAAAGTAGTAGAAGAAAATTACTCGGCTAACCCTTAGGGGGACAAGCATTCTGTTAAACACAACAAACGAGTGAGCGCCAAGGAGCTATGTTCAGAAGCACAGCAATCATTTAGTTACAGGCAATTAACAACAGTCCTCTGGTAGCACGGGAACAGTTCTACTCCAAGGGAAAACACATTGATTACTGCTGCAGTTGTAGATTGGTTTCTGAATAAATAGCTTCAATTTAAAATGAGATTTGTTACAAGCAGTTTGACCAATGGCTACAATTTTTTTTCCTTATCAGGAGTCTTTGGCTTGGAAAGCCAAAGAAAGAAACAACTAATTAAAACAAAGTACGTGTCCTCTCTAAACATCTGCATGATGCAATGGAAATAAACGTACTCATTTTATACTGATCCTATCCTGATTATCAAGCATATCTTTGATCTTCACCTGGAATTAATTTTTTATAAGCTTCCCTTCTCTCTGTCACACATGTAATGCACTTAGCTTACAAGAAAGTAAATAAAAGGGTGCCTTCAATATTCATATCTTGTGACTTATACGATGTGCTTCAGAGACCTTACATTTAATGATCTGTGATAATTTAAAATTAATCTTATTCTATTCATTAGTCTGTATACAGCTGAGCTACTAAGAAAAATAATTATATTTCAAGCATCCTTTTGGGTGATTTATAACTCTTAGAGGATGTGTGATTTATAGCTGTGTATTCAATTTCTGAAGCTTTTTCAAAATCCAATTACAGTCTATCTAAGGTTTCAATTTTGCAGTCACGCAGATTGCTTAACTTCACAGACTATAAGTAATCCTTCTGAAGTCAGTGGGACTATTCACAGAGCTTCAGGTTATCCCACACTTAAATCTTTGTAATTTTGTGCCTAGACTCTTTTTCCTTCTCTGCTTGTTTTGGACAATTTCACTTATAAAGGTAAATGCTTGCTTAGATTCAATCTTCAGTTTATCTAGATATAGGTTCCAAGACTTCAATTATTAAGTCAACATCGAGATAATGGATATAATTAAGAAGGGGAGCAGTTAAAGATGATGCTTTCTAAAGCTCTCAGCTATTGTTTTCTATGAGAGAATGGAAAAAAGGCAGATACTGGTAACCTGGAGAGATGCATCATAAGATGTAGTTTTGACTGCAGAGAGGTGTGTTTCCAATAAAGGAAGGAGGAGGCCAGCTGATTCATCTGAATCTCATTTCACACATCAGCAGCAAACAGTAGACAGATATGACAAAGAAAGAAACCATACTCACAGTTTGAAAATGGAGAAGTATGCTGTTTTTTCCTTTCTTTAATGTACATATATACATGCATATGTATTATTATATATATATATTCAATTCCCTACATTTTGAGATTTTTCTTCATTTGTTTCAAAGTGCCAAATGAATCTGTTTGTATTTAAGGAACCAAGACTGCTTTATGGATGATGTTGCAAGTAACCACTGACAAATGCTGTTGGACAATAACACTTCTGAAGCCCATAGATTTGGAGTAGCAGACTTGAAGTGTTCATTAGCTTGATCATGAAACCATCTCTTAATAAAAAGCATACACTTTTTGCCAGCATAGGGTCACACAGGACAGTAGATGTCTGCAGAGTTCGCTTAAGATGCGTAATTTAAGTTACAGGTAGTTTTTTTTCTAATGTTTTTCAGTGCAGTAGCTTCATTTCATCTGTTAGAAATACTGAGGCTTGGTTAACTCACCCTATTTATTAGATCAAAATATAATATATTTTTTTACAGAAGCACTGGAATAGGCTCCTCAGGGAGGTGGTTGAGTCACCATCCCTAAATATGTTTAAAAACCATTTGTACATGGTGCCCAGGGAG